GATCCTGACCGGCTCCAGGTTGACTCAGCCTTCCGTCCTCCCGAGGTCGGTAAAATGAGGACCCAGATTGTTGGGGTGGGGGCAACAGGCTGACTCTGTAAACTGCTCAGAGAGGGTTGTAAAAAGCCCTATGGAGCTGTGTATAAGTTTAAGTGCTGTTGCTTGGGAAGGAAGGAAGGAAGGAAGGAAGGAAGGAAGGTGGATGGATAAAAGGGAGAGAGAGAGGGAGGGAGGGAAGGAAGGGACAAAGGAGGATGGGATGATGGGGAAAGAAGGGAAGGAAGGAAGGAAGGTGGATGGATAAAAGGGAGAGAGGGAGGGAGGGAAGGAAGGAAGGGAGGAAGGAGGATGGGATGATGGGGAAAGAAGGAAAGGAAGGAAGGAAGGAAGGAAGGAAGGAAGGAAGGAAGGAAGGAAGGAAGGAAGGAAAATGAGAAAGGAAACAAGGAGAAGGAAGGAAGTCGTGGTGGCACAGTGGTTAGAATGCAGCATTGCAGGCTGACTCTGCCCACTGCCAGGAAGTTCGATCCTGACCGGCTCAAGGTTGATTCACCCTTCCGTCCTCCCGAGGTCGGTAAAAGGAGGACCCAGATTGTTGGGGGCAAATAGGCTGACTCTGTAAACCGCTCAGGGAGGGCTGTAAAAGCACCGTGAAGCGCTATATAAGTCTAAGCGCTGTTGCGATTGCTACAAACTAAACGACTGCAGAGACTAACTTAACAACCCGTGGCCAGAAAAGTGATAAAATGGGGCTAAACTCACTTAACAACCGCCTCGCTTAGCAACAGAAATTTGGGCTGAATTGTCAGGGTAGGCCCAGGACTACCTGTACAGCAGGGACCTTCTAAATGTTGCCCTCCCCACCCCCACAGGTGCATCAGGCGTCCCTGTTGCTCCGGCAGCAGCTTCTCGTCACGGCCCTTTTCGAGAAGTGGGACAACGAGTGCTCGGGGTTCTTGGAGATGAAGGAGGTGGACTCGGTCCTCAGCACCTTCAAGGAAGGCATGGAAGAAGAAGCCTTGACCAGGGGTAAGAGGAGCCCAAGGACCCTTCTGCTTCAGCAGGGGGTTGGACTGGTCCAGGGGTCCCCAACCCCCGGTCTGTGGACCGGTACGGGGCTGCGGCACGGCGGCAACCAGTCCACACAAAGAAGCAGAGCCCCATCCGCGGGATGCAGGCAGCACACAAAACCACGCACCCTCCGGTCCACGGGAAAAACCTCTCTCCACGGAACCGGTGATCCCTGGTGCCCCAAAGGTTGGGCACCTCTGCCCTAAGGAATACTATAGCAGTATTTACTATACGCTATATAGCAGCCTCTTTAGGGGTTATAATACTATAGCAGTATTTCAGCTGCCCTAAAGAAGAAGGGGGGGGTCCACCTCTTCTCCAAAGCAGGATTTGCAGAGAGCAGGAGGAGGAGGAGGAGGAAGAGGAGGAGGAGGAGGACTGTGGGGTCCTTGGTGCTCTCGATGTTTTCCTGCAGACATTTCATGACCCAACTAGGTAATATTATCAGTGGTGGTAGGGTGCTGGGGCTTTTCTGAATGGAGCAGGAGGAGGAGGAGGAGGAGGAGGAGGAGGAAGAGGAGAAGAAGAAGAAGTAGAAGTAGAAGTAGAAGTAGAAGTAGAAGTAGAAGGAGGAGGAGGAGGAGGAGGAGGAGGAGGAGGAGGAGGAGGAGACTGTGGGGGTCCTTGGTGCTCTCTGTACTTGGTTGTTTTCTTGCAGACATCTCATGACCCAACTAGGGAACATCATCAGTGCTAGAAGGGAGGGGATGGTGGGGAGGAGGAGGACTGTGGGGTCCTTGGTGCTCTCTGAGCTTGGATGTTTTCCTGCAGACGTTTCATGACCTGGCTAGGTAATATCATCAGTGCTAGAAGGGAGGAGGATTTGTGGAGAGGAGGAGGAGGAGAAGAAGAAGAAGCAGGAGGAGGAGGGGGGAGGAGGACAACTGTGGGGTCCTTCATGCTGTCTGAGCTTGGTTGTGTTCTTGCAGACGTTTCATGACTGAACTAGGTAACGTCATCAGCGCTGGTGAGTGTGGGGTTTGCTTCCTGTTTCTATATAACAATTTGTCCTGTCAGTGTTGGTGGCAGTCTGGTTTTCTCCCTGGAACTGTCTTGATTTGGGGTATTGTTTTCCGTCTGATTGTTTGTCTGGTGTTAATCCCTGCTTGTCTGGGTCTTGGCTGCTGGGGAGGATGGGTTCTGCTCTTTTTGCTTCCCTCTTCACTTTTTTCTCGTCTCTTTCGAATGGTGTGTAAATAGCATTCCTCTCTATGTGTCTGTGGATGGCAGAGCTACTTATACAGGAAGTCCTCAACTTAGAACCAGAACTGAGTCCAAAATTGATGTTGCTAAGCGAGACATTTCTTGAGTGAGGTTTGCCCCATTTTACATCCCTTCTTGACACAGTTGTTGTTAAGCAATTTGAATTGAATTTTGAATTTTATTAAATTTATACCCCGCCCTTCTCCCGGAGGACTCAGGGCGGCTTACAGCCAGTTTAAAACAATAATACAATACAATACAAAATTTAAGAAAATAATTAAAAATAAATATTTAAATAGGCCACTTCTACTAAAATTTAGTTAAAACCAATTTAAAATACCCCTAGGCCAGTCCTGCCCACTGAAATAACCAAGTCTTGAGGGCGCGGCGGAAGGAGGGGAGATCCGGAATCACCCGGATCTCTGGGGGCAGCTCGTTCCATAGGGAGGGGGCTCCAACAGAGAAGGCTCTCCCCCTGGGGGTCGCCAGCCGGCACTGTCTGGCTGACGGCACCCTGAGGAGACCCTCTCTGTGGGAGCGTACCGGCCGATGGGAGGCACTCTGAGGCAGAAGGCGGTCTCGGAGGTAACCAGGTCCGATGCCATGGCGCGCTTTAAAGGTGATAATCAACACCTTGAAGCGCACTCGGAAGGCCACAGGCAGCCAGTGCAGCTCGCGCAGCAGCGGCGTTACATGGGAGCGACGAGTCGCTCCCATCACCGCCCGCGCGGCCGCATTCTGGACTAACTGGAGCCTCCGAGTGCTCCTCAGGGGAAGCCCCATGTAGAGAGCATTACAGTAGTCCAGGCGGGAGGTGACAAGAGCATGGGTGACTGTGCGCAAGGCATCCCGGTCCAGAAAAGGCCACAGCCACTCAGTCTTGGAAGGGTTGAGCCTGAGTCTGTTTCTCCCCATCCAGACCCGTACGGCCTCCAAATCTCCATCACTGCAGATTTTCAAGAAGAGGCTAGTCAGTTACTTGTCTGAGATGGCATAGGTTTTCTTGCTTCAGCAGGGGGCTGGACTAGAAGACCTCCAAGGTCCCTTCCAGCTCTATTCTATTCTATTCTATTCTATTCTATTCTATTCTATTCTATTCTATTCTATTCTATTCTATTCTTATTTTAATTCTATTCTATTCTATTTTCTATTCTATTCTATTTTCTTTTCTTTTCTATTCTTTATTCTATATTCTATTCTATTCTATTCTATTCTATTCTATTCTATTCTATTCTATTCTATTCCATATTCTATTCTATTCATATTTTAATTCTATTCTATTCTATTCTATTCTATTCTATTCGATTCGATTCGATTCGATTCGATTCTATTCCATATTCTATTCTATTCATATTTTAATTCTATTCTATTCTATTCTATTCTATTCCATATTCTATTCTATTCATATTTTAATTCTATTCTATTCTATTCTATTCTATTCTATTCTATTCTATTCTATTCTATTCTATTCTATTCTTATTTTAATTCTATTCTATTCTATTCTATTTTCTTTTCTTTTCTATTCTTTATTCTATATTCTATTCTATTCTAATTTTATATATTCTATTCTACTCTATTCTATTCTAATTTTAATTCTATTCTATTCTTATTTTAATTCTATTCTATTCTATTCTATTCTATTCTATTCTATTCTATTCTATTCTATTCTATTCTATTCTAATTACAACCCATAATTCTATTCTATTCTATTCTATTCTATTCTATTCTATTCTATTCTATTCTAATCTAATCTAATCTATTCTAATCTATTCTAATATTATCCTATTCTATTCTATTCATCAAAGGGAGAAGCAACCTAGAATTAAGGAGAAACTTCCTGATAGTGAGGACAATTAACCAGTGGAACAGCTTGCCACCAGAAATCGTGGGCGCTCCATGACTGGAGATTTTAAAGAAGAGACTGGATAGTCACCTGTCTGAGATGGTATAAGTTCTCCTGCTTGGGCAGGGGGCTGGACTAGAAGACCTCAAATGTCCCTTCCAGCTTCTATTCTATTCTATTTAAGTTAATCACTGCAGTTGTTAACGTTAGTGACACAGTTGTTAAGTGAATCTGGCTTCCCCTGTTGACTTTGATTGTCAGAAAGTCACAAAAGGGGATCACACATGATCCCGGGACACTTCGACCGTCATAAGTGTGGAGTCAATTCCCAAGCATCTTCATTTTGATCTCTTGGCCACTGGGGATGCAGCAACGGTTGTAAAGTGTGAAAAACGGTCATTTGTCCCCTTTTTTAAAACTGTGATTTCAAATGGTCGCTAAACGAACTGTCGTAAGTCGAGGACATCCTGTTACTCCAGGCTTTTAAGAAGAGATTGGACAGTCTGAAGTGGCATAGGGTCTCCTGCTTGAGCTGGGGGGGCTGGACTAGATGACCTCCGAGGTCCCTTCCAGCTCTATTACTCTGTCATTCTGGAATGGCATAGGCTCTCCTGCTTGAGCTGGGGGTTGGACTAGATGACCTCCAGGGTCCCTTCCAACTCTATTACTCTGTTATTCTGGAATGGTATAGGCTCTCCTGCTTGAGTCTGGGGTTGGACTAGATGACCTCCGAGGTCCCTTCCAGCTCTATTACTCTGTCATTGTGGAATGGCATAGGGTCTCCTGCTTGAGCCGGGGGTTGGACTAGATGACCTCCGAGGTCCCTTCCAGCTCTATTACTCTGTCATTGTGGAATGGCATAGGGTCTCCTGCTTGAGCTGGGGGTTGGACTAGATGACCTCCGAGGTCCCTTCCAACTCTATTACTCTGTCATTCTGGAATGGCATAGGCTCTCCTGCCTGAGCTGGGGGTTGGACTAGATGACCTCCGAGGTCCCTTCCAACTGTTATTCTGGAATGGCATAGGGTCTCCTGCCTGAGCTGGGGGTTGGACTAGATGACCTCCAAGGTCCCTTCCAACTGTTATTCTGGAATGGCATAGGGTCTCCTGCCTGAGCTGGGGGTTGGACTAGATCAGTGGTTCTCAATCTTTTTAATGCCGCGACCCCCAACCGGTCATAAGTCGAGGACTAAACCGGTCGTAAGTCGAGGACTTAACTGGTCGTAAGTCGAGGACTACCCAACCGGTCGTAAGTCGAGGACTTTCCCTGCCCGGGAGCGCCACGCATGCGTGGTTCCGCCCCCTGCGCCGGCCGAGGCGTAGCTGGCAAGCGGCAGAGACGGAGCAGGCCGACCACCAGCTGGCCCAGCCCAAGGGAGGGAAGGCACCCGCCGGAAGAGGGGGAAAAAATGGCGGACAAAAAAAATGGACCAAAAAAATGGCGGACAGCCTTGCTTGGCGACCCCCGTGAAATGGTCGATCGACCCCAAATGGGGTCCCGACCCACAGGTTGAGAACCACTGGACTAGATGACCTCCGAGGTCCCTTTCAGCTCTGTCGTCCTCTTGCTGATGCTTCTGCTGGTGAAGGTGCCCCTTCCGATGTCCGATCCTGGTTTTTTTCCCGTGGCTGTGGAAGAAAACGGCACGTTTTTTAATGGCGTCCTCTGAAAGGAATCGGGAGGGGAGACCACAAGGTCCATCTTCCTGGGTCCCCAGCTGAGAAGCCCGTGTCCTGGGCTGACCCTTTCCCTTTCTCCCCCCCCCCCCCATAGCTAAGCTGCAGCTTCCCTTTCCCACCTGGCACCCCAGCGGGATGGTCAAGCTAACCCAGAGGGACTTCCAAAGCTACGTCGAGCTGGTGATGTCCGAGCTCACCGGAACCGAACAGGAGACGCTGGACAACCTCGTGGAGTTCCTGATGATGGCCGTGGGGCGCCCCCACCTGGAACGGTTGCGCGGGAACGCCCGGCGCAAATGGCTGCTGCGGATCGAACACGCGGCTGTGACCGGCGGCGGATGCATGGAGCCCATCTACCAAGCGGTCTTCAAGGCTCTCTCCAGGGTGAGTAAATCCGTCAACAAGACTCGTCACGGAGCGTCCTTATTATATTTATCAATAAACTTTTAGCTTAGACCAAGGGTAGTCAACCTTGGCTCTTTTAGGACTCGTGGACTTCAACTCCCAGAATTCCTGAGCCAGCACAGCTGGCTCAGGAATTCTGGGAGTTGAAGTCCACGAGTCCTAAAAGAGCCAAGGTTGACTACCCCTGGCTTAGACGTAGCGTAATCACATTCAATCTTCATAAACAATCCATATCCTGTTATTAATTTGTACCCAGTTTTTAGTTTCTCGTCGATATTCCAATTTAACCTTTGATGTTTATAATATGTATAATATTATAATATCAACAACCTAAGATATGCAGATGATACCACTCTAATGGCAGAAAGCGAAGAGGAACGAAAGAGCCTCTTGATGCAGGTGAAGAAGGAGAGTGCAAAAGTGGGCTTGAAACTCAACCTTAAGAAAACCAAGATCATGACATCTGGCCCTCTCAATTCCTGGCAAAATAGATGGTGAAGAAATGGAGGTAGTGACCGATTTTATCTTCCTGGGCTCCAAGATCACCCCAGATGGGGACTGCAGCCAAGAAATTAAAAGACGCTGGCTCCTGGGGAGGAAAGCTATGGCAAATCTAGACAGCATACTAAAAAGCAGAGACATCACCCTGCCAACAAAAGTACGTATAGTCAAGGCCATGGTTTTCCCAGTGGCAATGGATGGCTGTGAAAGTTGGACCATAAGAAAGGCTGAGCGCCAAAGAATGGAGGCCTTTGAACTCTGGTGCCGGAGAAGACTCCTGCGAGTCCCCTGGACTGCAAGGGGATCCAACCGGTCAGTCCTGGAGGAGATCAACCCCGACTGCTCTTTAGAAGGCCAGATCCTGGAGTTGAAACTCAAGTCCTTTGGCCACCTAACGAGAAGGAAGGACTCCCTGGAGAAGATCCTAATGCTGGGAAAGATGGAGGGCAAGAGAAGAAGGGGACGACGGAGAATGAGGTGGCTGGATGGAGTCACTGAAGCAGGAGGCGAGAGCTTCAATGGACTCCAGAAGATGGGAGAGGACAGGAAGGCCTGGAGGAACGTGGTCCATGGGGGTCGCGATGGGTCAGACACAACTTTGCAACTAACAACAACAAAATTTATAATATTCAGGCTTTAGGTAACCAAGATATCCCTTGTCTCAATTCGAAACAAAATATAATATCCAAAATACACATTTTCATCTATTTGAATGTAATCTTGTTCTGATTCCTAAGAGTTATCTATTTCCCACCATATTAAATCATCTGCTTAATAATACAATATCCCCTTTAAGAAAACAAAACCATTATGTATATTACCTGGGTTAATCAATAAATCAAACATATTCATCATAATTAATTTTCTTTTTTCTTTTGGAAAAAGAATTCTTATATTTTCTTTTTTCTAATTTTTCAATATTAAACCGATAAAGTCCTTGTTTTCAACTAATTTCCAAGTGTTTTAAATCTAATGACCAGAATTCCCCTTATCTGAACTTCTCCCTTTAAACCTCTAATTAATAATATGAAATCCCCTCTAATTAAAGTCAAAATTCCAATTCCAGTTTTAAGTCAGGGACTACCTGTGAATAAAATTGCAGGAGCCCTTAGGACAGTGGTTCTCAACCTTTTTAATGCCGCGACCCCAACCGGTCATAAGTCGAGGACTAAACCGGTCGTAAGTCGAAGACTAAACTGGTCGTAAGTCGAGGACTAAACCAGTCGTAAGTCAAGGACTACCCAACCAGTCGTAAGTCGAGGACTTTCCCTGCCCAGGAACGCCGCGCATGCATGGTTCCGCCCCCTGCGCCGGCCGAGGCGTAGCTGGCAAGCGGCAGAGACGGAGCAGGCCGACCACCAGCTGGCCCAGCCCAAGGGAGGTAAGGCACCCACCGGAAAAGGGGAAAAAATGGTGGACAAAAAAAATGGCGGACAGCCTTGCTTGGCGACCCCCGTGACATGGTCGATCGACCCCAAATGGGGTCCCGACCCACAGGTTGAGAACCACTGCCTTAGGAGAACAGGTGAATGGATAGGTCAATTAGCCAGTTCTCACTGGTTCGTCTCATTAGAGACACCAGGGCATGGGGATGGATGGGGAATTCTGGGAAATGAATTCCGGGCGTCTTCCGGCTTCCAAGGTTGAGGGAATCCTGTCTTATGGGTCAAGGCTCTTTTGCTTTCTGTTTGGGCAATTCTGGGAATTAGAATCCACCTATCTGAAAGCTGAGAAAAACTGCATTCTGGGCCAAGTCTCTTCTGGGTGCTGGCTGGGGAATTCTGGGAGTTGAGGTCCACACATCTTCAGTAGTCGAGGTTGAGAAATACTGGTCCAGTAAATCTTCCCTGTGTTGGAGGTCTAAAGTCCAAGGGACTGTAAGGCCGTTCCCAAGTCTAAGATTCTAGGGTTAGGGTTAGGGTTAAACTACCCCATAATTCATGGTGATGTCAACTCAATCTCTTGCAGGACACTGATGCTCACGGAGACAAGAAGAAGGTCAGCGCCTACATCGCCCTTCTGGAATACAACGTCATAGCCCCTGAGCGGGGAGACATTCTCCTGCGCTATGTGGCCTCCACAGAAGACGATGCCCCTTATCTCCTCAACCAGATCCTTTTCATGGATATGCCGGGAGTCAGGTAAGGAATGCTCATTCAGCATCTATCCATCCTTCCATCCATCGATCCATCCATCCATGCATACATGTGTGCATCCTTCCATGCATCCATCGCATCCATCTATTAATCATCCATCCATCCATCCACTCATCAATCCATCAATCTTTCAATCCATCTATCCATCCCAGCCATCCATCCACCAATCCACCCATTCATGCATACATGCGTGCATCCTTCCATGCATCCATTGCATCCATCTATTAATCTCATCCATTCATCCACCTATCAATCCATCAATCTTTCGATCCATTTATCCATTCCAACCATCCATCTCATCCTTCCATCTATTCATCCATCCATCCACTCATCAATCCATCAATCTTTCAATCCATCAGTCCATCCCAACCATTGATCCATCAATATCATCCTTCCTTCCTTTCATCCATCCATCCATCCATCCATCCATCCATCCATCCATCCATCCATATTATCCTTCCATCTATCCATCCACTCATCAATTCATCAATCTTTCGATCCATCGATCCATCCATTTATCAATTTTTTGATCCATCGATCCATTCCGACCATCTACCCATCCTTCCATCCATTCACTTCTCAATCCATCAATCTTTCGATGCATTGATCCATCCCATCCATCTATCTCATCCATCCATCTTATCCTTCCATTTATTCAACCATCCATCCACTCATCAGTCCATCAGTCTTTCGATCCATCTATCCATCCAAACCATCCATCCATCCATTTCATCCTTCCTTCCTTCCTTCCTTCCTTCCATCCATCCATCTTATTCTTCCATCTATTCATCCATCCATCCACTCATCAATCTTTCAATCCATCAATCCATCCATTCACTCATCAATTTTTTGATCCATCTATCCATCCCCACCATCTACCCATCCTTCCATCTATTCACTCATCAATCCATCAATTGTTCGATCCATTGATCCATCCCAACCATCCATCCATCCATCCATCCATCCATCTCATCCACTCATCCATCCATCAATCCATCTAACCATCTGGTCCATTCATGGTGGAACATAGGCTAGTTTGCACTCACCCATGCTGCAAATTATGGGGCACCCCCCCTCCTCTTCTGCTACTGCTTAGCTGCTTCTACCCCCCACCAAAGCTTCTCTTCCCTCTCACTCCCCCCCACCCCACAGCTTTCAAGCCGCCTTGGATGACAGGCCCATCCATGTCCCCCGAGTTCACCTGCACGGAAATATCCACTTCTGGAACTCCGATTGCCCCCAAAGCGAGCAGAGGGGCTCCTTCCTGGTGCTGCCCCTGGAAGATGTCCGGAGAAGGGTCTTTGGGGTCCTCGGACTGGACACGCTCAGGGACAAGAATGAAAAAACCATCTTCGTTCCCCATGAGATCCGTTACTACCAGGTGGGAATTCAAGTGGGTAGCCAGGATCGGGGAGG